CACTCTCTCTCTCTCTCAAATAAATAAAATCTTTAAAAAAAAAAAAGAGTACATTCCCAAAAAGAAGCAAGGAGAAGTAAATAAGATCAGTAACAGAAACTCAGTTCCAGAGCATGGCACTGAGAACGAAAGTTCAGGAATCGAGGTTGAACTAATGGCTCACTGACTTCTTAGCTGATAAACCAAGGTTGTAGTCTTTTTATCATTCTGTGAGCTTCAGGGTAATGACCCCATGGACAACTTACCTACGAGCTCTTACTGTTACTTAAACTAAAACGTAAAAATTATCCCCAAATCAAAACCAGTACCTCTGCCATCCTACCACCCAGCCAAACCCAGACACGTCAACAAAGTTTCACCAGAATCTATGAAAAGACCAGCACTGTTTTAAAAAGATGCCAATAAGATGATTGATGTCTATGGCTGCCAGAGGGGAGGTGGTGGGGGGATGGGCAAAATAGGTGAAGGGGAGTGGGAGGTGCAGGCTTCCAGTTTATGGAATGAGTAAGTCACAGGGATGGAAGGCACAGCACAGCGGATGTCGTGAATGGTATTGTAATGGCACTGAATGGGGACAGAGGGCAGCCACACTTGGACGAGCACAGCAGAACATACAGACTTGTCGAATCACTGTGTTGTACACCTGAAACTAATGTAACATTGTGTGTCGACTAGACTTTTTGATATAAATAAATAAGCCAGCTAGCCAGCCCTGGGAATGAAAGGTACAGCACAGGGAGTATTGTCAATAATATTGTAATAACTGTATATGGTAACAGGGGGTAACTACACCTATCATGGTGAGCATTTCGCAAAGTACAGGACTGTCAAATCACTATGTTGTACACCTGAAACTAATATTGTATGTCAACTATACTTCAATTAAAAATTTTTAAAAAGATGATTGATGTCTAAAATGTCTGTTAAATGTCGTAAGTAAATTAGCTCATGACAGAAACTAAAGTACATTCCTCATTATGCTATAAATATCACTACTACTAGAGATTAGCCCCCACAGTGTATCCGGAGGCCCCTTGCTTTCACAATCCCTTTAGAAAAACCATTTACATAAATTTTATCTGAAGAGACTCCTGGAGGTGTAACAAAATGGGACCTGGACAGTTGCCCAAACAAAAGACTCTGTGGAAAAGCTATGGTATGATCATAAAAATGAAGAAGAGGAGGAGGAGGGAGAGCAGGAAGAGGAGAAGAAGGAACAAGTCTAGAAAAACAGGAGTGGGGGATGCTGTTCTCACTTTTTTAAAAAGGATTTATTTAGAGAGAGAGTGCATGCAGGGGGTAGGGGCAGAGGGAGAAGAAGAGAGAGAATCTCCAGCAGACTCCCACTGAGTATGGAGCCCAACGCGGGGCTCGATCTCACGACCCTGAGATCATGACCTGAGCCGAAACCAAGAGTCAGACACTTACTAACTGCACCACCCAGGTGCCCCGCTATTCTCACTTTAAAGGCAATGGCAATATAAGGAAAATCATCACCTCAAAAGACCATACTCAGAATCACACCTTTCCTCACTTTCATTTTTACTTTTATAGTCTTCTTCCACTCCAAAATGAGCTAACACCTTACCCCTCCCTCAGCACTTTGCCACAGTCATGCCCAATCATCATCACATTCTCAGCTGGTCCATCCCTCCGTCTCAGGTTGAAACTTCTAACTCTGTGGTTTGGCCCTGTTAAAGATTCCTGAGAAATCAAGCAGTTTCACCTGAATCCACTAGAACGTAGTAAGCTTCACGGGAGCAGAAGCCTGTGTGCCTCCCTCACACTGTCTCAGAGGCCAGCAGAGTGCCCGGCCACCTAACAGAGACTAGAAAGAACACCAGTGGAATGAGCGGCCCTTCACTCAAGACCTGACCTCCACACAGTCCTCTCCATTATCTGACCTGCTGAGGGAACGTCCCCTTGAGAGGGGAAACTAGCCACAGAGAAGAAAAAATGTCACCCAAGACCATCTCTGGTAACAAAATAATTTTTAAAAATATGTATGTATCGGGGCACCTGGGCGGCTCGGTCGGTTAAGCCTCCGACTCTTGATGTGGGCTCAGGTCATGATCTTGGGGTCCTGGGATTGAGCCCTGCCCTGGGCTTCATGCTCAGTGGGGGGTCTGCTTCACATTCTCTCTCTCTCCCTTTCGCTTTGCCCCTCCCCCTGCTCATGCTCTCTCTAAAATAAATAAAATCTTTAAAAATATATATATATGTATATGTAATACAAATATATATTTACATCCCCCCCCCTTAATCTATGTATTCTTTGTTTCATAAAGTACTTACGTAGGGGTGCCTGGCTGGCTCCGTTGGAAGAGCATGCGACTCTTGATCTCAGGGTCATGAGTTCAAGCCCCACATTGAGGGTAGAGATTACTAAAAAAAAATAAATGAATTTAAAAATAAAACTAAAGTACTTACCTAAACCACTGAACGTTGGTATGAGGCATGGACTCCAAAATATAATCCCATCTAGATGCCCACTTGATGCTTTTGTTTTCCTAAAAAACAAAAATATACAATAATATGACCAAACTTTCACTGGCCTTTTGCTGGTTATAATCCTAAAACAAACAGAAAGTTATTCTGCATGTACTTTCTCAATCTCTTCACTACTAACTTCATGGAATAGTGAGATGTACCCTGGCATTTTTATCTTATTTTTATTAACTGACATTCTTCTTCATTTCAGAAAGGGACTAGAAAGTAATTTTAGCCTGCTGCTGTTCACCAGAAGTAGCAACCTTTTTTTCTCAATCTCTTCACTACTAACTTCATGGAATAATGAGATGTACCCTGGCATTTTTATCTTATTAACTGACATTCTTCTTCATTTCAGAAAGGGACTAGAAAGAAAGTAATTTTAGCCTGCTGCTGTTCACCAGAAGTAACAACCTTTTTTAAAAACAGACCATCTAGGGGCACCTGGGTGACTCAGTCAATTAAGCTTCTGACTTCGGCTCAGGTCATGATCTCAGGGTCCTGGGATTGAGCCCCGAGTTGGGCTCCACACTCAGCAGGGAGTCTGCTTGTCCCTCTGCTCCTCTTCGTACTTGTGCATTCTCTCTCTCAAATAAATAAAAATTAAAACAATAAAACAGACTATTTGCTTAAAGTAATCTCTACACCCAACGTGGGGCTCAAGTTCACAACCCCGAGATCAAGAGTCCCATGCTCTTCCGACTGAGCCAACCAGGCACCCCTACATTTTTATACGTTAAGTATTTTGAGATGTAGTAGCAACAAGTTTATAAAAGATGTTGTTTTCAAATATTGTAATTTTCAATACTGAATAAACCACAAGAAAATACAATTACCAATCAAGCTGTTTCTGTTGATGTGTGATCAAACTCAAACTGTCAGTAGCTTTCTTACAAAATATCCCCAGTAGATGAAGATCTTAACTGGTAACCCCCAATAAACACACCATTAATTCAGAGTAATCACCCCTCAAATCAATAACATGCTCTTAGCAAAGGAAAAATGCTGGTACAAATTGACCAAGTAATGTTTGAAATGACTTATTATTTAAAACTGAGTGTTTGTAAGACAAAATCAGAGAGGGAGACAAACCATAAGAGACTCCTAACTCTAGGAAACAAACTGAGGGATGCTGCAGGGGAGGAGGGTTCAGGGGCGGGCTAACTGGGTGATGGACATTAAGGAGGGCACGTGATGGAATGAGCACTCGGTGTTATATAAGACTGATGAATCACTGACCTCTACCTCTGAAACCAATAATACATTATGTTAATTAATTGAATTTAAATTTAAAAATAAAATAAAAGTGGGTGTTTGTTAGGTGTTTTTTCTGAAGTTTAGAGTTGGAGTATGGAGAGACTCAATGTGCACTGCTTTTTTTTTTTTTTTTTAACAAGTAGGCTCCACGCCCAATGTGGGGCTTGAACTCACGACCCTGAGATCAAGAATTGCATGCTCTATGGACTGAGCCAGCCAGGTGCCCCTAATATGTACTGTTTTAAAAAACAAAAACCCAAGGGGCACCTGGTTGGTTCAGTTGGTAGAACATGCATGCGACTCTTGATCTCAGTGTTGTGAGTTCGAGCCCCACATTGGGTGTGGAGCCTACTTAAAAATTTTAAAAATCCAAAGGACAGATTTTAATTGGGTTTTAATTCAACGGTTGATTTTAGCTAAAACCTGATGACTAGGAGATCATGGTTAATTAACATCACCAGTGACGAAGCAGGTTGACATCACATGCCTCCTAACGTGCAGCATCACTTCCGCTTTATAATCTCTGCCTACAATGTACGGCCTGAGCCTGCTCATAAAGAACCATCAGACAGACCCAGATTAATGGTCATCCTGCAGATTGTAAAGTCCTTACTCTATAAAAATTTCAAGGCTGTGGAAGACAGAGAAAGACAGAAGAACCAGTCTGGACTGGAGATCACAAACTAAACAACACATACTCCTGGATAGGATCTCAAACCATGAAGGGACAAAGTGACATTGTTTGGCCAGCTGGCAACATTTGAATGGATGGATGTGAACCAGATGGTAATGTGATACCAGTGCAGATTCCTGATTTGGAGGGTTCTATGCTAGTGATATGCTATGCCAGTAGGAAAGTGATCTTGTTTGGGGGAAAGACTCCGGAGTGTTTAGGGGTGATGGAACACCTAGCTCTCCAAAGATTCAGAGAAAGACTAAGGCTAATGGACACACAGATAAGGGTGAACAATGCAGCAAATGAGTAAAATAGTAACAATTAGGGCGTCTGAGATTAAAGAGACTATGGGGGTTCTTTGTAGTGTTCTGGCAATCTTTCTGTAGTCTGAAACTGTTTCGAAATAAATTATTATTTAAAACCTATAAGGAGGAGCGCCTAGGTGGCTCAGTGGGTTAAGCGTCTGCCTTCGGCTCATGTCATGATCCCAGGGTCCTGGGATCGAGTTCTGCGTCAGGCTCCCTGTTCAGCAGGGGACCTGCTTCTCCCTCTCCCTCTGCCTACTGTTCCACCTGCTTGTGCTTTCTCTCTCTCAAATGAATAAAAACTTTAAGAAAATAAAAATAAAATAAAACCTATAAGGAAATCAGAATTTTTAGACAAATCAAGGGATAAATATTCATTGCATAAAAGCATATATCTTAGCCATTCTATTAAAATATTGTTTCTATAGTAAAATGTGACTTAATTTGTAAAAATTTGAATTACGGGCATCTTCTTCACCAGCCTATCCCTTGCCTTAAGCAAGTTAACTCATATCAAGTCTTTCAAAACGGAGAGATACTTTCAAATATGCGCCATGAAGTTTGGATTTTACAAAGAGAGCCTAGAAAAATCTGCAGTTGTTAAACGTAATGGTTTTTGCACCAAACATTGCCATCTGCTGGAAATAACAGACTATAACACATATTACTCTTCCCTAAGAAAATAAGAAACTATTTAAAAATCCTAAGGCACATTTGAGAACAAAATGACAAATGCAGACAGATAACTAAGTGGTGGAACCTATTTCCTTAATCCACTGAAAACTAATGAGTTATTCTGCTTCTTTCCATGCCAGCGTTTCAAAGTCTTTTCTAAGACACAGCAATTCTCCTAAAACAAGTCCTTAATTTTGTTTACACTGGAGGCACAAGAAGCAAAGGTAGAAACACACACAGGACTTCTTGAGTCCTGACACAGTATCCCACGATGGATCTCACTCAATAAATACTCAGGCAGGGGCTCCAAGAATCCAATGGGCAGACAACGAGGGCTTCTTCTAGTCCAGATGTTTTCAACACGGGGAGCAGCGCCCCCTAGGGGGCAGAAGGAAAATGTGTAGGGATGCTTCTGGTGTTAGCAGCATAGAACGCCAGACGTCTACAGCGCACTGGGAGACCAACCAACACAAGGAATTGAGAAAAACTTCCAAATGCGCCACCCAATATGGTGTGAGGGAAAGACTGCTTCTGATTATGATCTGTGGGGCGCCTGGGTGGCTCAGTAGGTCAAGTGTCTGCCTTCGGTTCAGGTCATGATCTCAGGGTCCTGGAATCAAGTTCTCCATCGGGCTCTCTGCTCAGTGGGGAGTCTGCTTCTCCCTCTGCCTCTGCCTCTCCCCCCCTGCTTGTGTGCGCGCTCTCTCTCTGTCTCAAATAAATAAACATTTAAAAATAAAAATTTTAAAATTTTAAAAATGATTATGGTCCGTGCCTAGATTCTAATTCCATTTTACAGATAAAGTATTTTTACACGTTTTTAATAACACTGACTTTTTTGGGGACTGCAACTACCATGTAAATTGAGGGAAAACAGTACTATGTTCGGTTTGAAACTTTTTTTTCTTTTTATTTGACAGAGCGAGCATACAAGCCGGGGGAGCGGCAGGCAGAAGGAGAGGGAGAAGCAGGCTCCCCACTGAGCAGGGAGCCCGAGAAGCCCAATGCGGGACTTGATCCCAGGACCCTGAGATCGTGACCTGAGCCGAAGGCAGACGCTTAACCGACTGAGCGAGCCAGGTGCCCCTGGTTTGAAACTTTACCAAAATTGATCAACATTTCAGAAAATCGGGTGCCTGGGTGGCTCAGACGGTTAAGTGTCTGCCTTCGGCTCAGGTCATGATCCCAGGGTCCTGGGATCGAGCCCCCCATCGGGCTCCCTGCTCCACAGGAAGCCTGCTTCTCCCTCTCCCACTCCCCCTGCTTGTGTTCCCTCTCTCGCTGTCTCTCTCTGTCAAATAAATAAATAAAATCTTAAAAGAAAAAACATTTCAGAAAATCATGCCATCACTTGGAAATATGGGGTACTTGAGCTACCTATGTACAATATTCTCATCTTCATCTGCATCCACAGCTGTCACATTTACAGTGATTATACACAATGGTGCATGCATCTGATGGGCTGAAATATATACTGAATTACATGTTATTTTATTACAAGTTATTTTCTTTTTATTTTATATTATAGTTAGGGTGTTATACTGATGTTTATTGAAACTACACGTACAGTTTTAATCATCTAGTATCTATAAATGTGAATTCACAGTAAAGGGAGGCTGCAAAAACATTTGATATTAAAATAGGGAGCGCTGAGTGCCTCAGTTGTTAAGCGTCTGCCTTCAGCTCAGGTCATGATCCCAGGGTCCTGGGATCGAGCCCCCGCATCGGGCTCCCTGCTCCACAGGAAGCCTGCTTCTCCCTCTCCCACTCCCCCTGCTTGTGTTCCTGCTCTTGCTATCTCTCTCTGTCAAATAAATAAATAAAATCTTTAAAAAATAAAATAAAATAAGGCTCAGTCGGTTGAGCGTGTCTGACTCTTGGTTTCAGCTCAGGTCATGATCTCAGGGTTGTGGAATTGAGCCCCCACGTGGGGCTCCGAGCTCAGCACAGAGTCTACTTGCCCCTCCCCAATCCCATCCCACCCCCACACGCACACACGTGCTGTCTCTCTCTCAAATAAATAAAATCTTTTAAATAAGTAAATAAAAGAGGACATCGATGTGATAGGGTTAAGAACTACTCATCTGTTTCAACTCTCTCATTTTAT